GAAAAAAATTGTCATCCCTAGCGCCATCCCTTACGAGGAACAAGAATAGATGGTAAAATTTGTCTCTCATAAAAAAGACTCACAAGAATTCCAATCCCCACTATTCTTTGGGATAAGGAGGCATTCCCCGGCCCTATTGAGCCCCATCACCACCCTTAGGTGGTCTTGGCTCTAATACAATATTAAAGATATAATGTATCAATTGTAGGTCAAAATCAGTTCATATCAATTGTTTCAATTGGCTTGGTATGAGATTGACAAGCTTGGTTTAGCAAGTATACTCCTACAATGAAGCACTAGAATTACTGAATACCCTTCTAAAATAAGTTTGTTGAGCAAATTTTCATTTTACTAACGATTGTAATGACATAATTAGAATTGGATCCTGTGTTGATGGTGAAAGGCAATATTGGTTAGCTTAAGTCTTGATTCAAACTGTGAATAAGGTCTACAGTAAAGAGGAGCCACACGAGTAACAAGACCAAGATAATAAATGGTTTGTTTATTGAAAGAGTGAGATTGTCGTCAATGAACCTGTTTCCCCAAAAATCCTCAATCGGCCTTTACCACGTGAGTTTGGTTATTAGCTGTGCTACTTGCTTTGTTTAAAAACAAGAAAACTGGATTTTCCAGACGACCATTTTCCTTTCCAACGGTCAACCTCCAATAGGATGGCTGGAAAGAACATCTGTGAAATGAATTGCACCCCAGACGATGTTGCAAAACAGAGGGTAGAGTTTTGCAAAATGAGTTTAATTGCCTTGGAAACCTTCAAGGACTTCACAACCAAACAAGTGTAATAAAAGCTACAAATCCTAAAATAAATGCAATATCCTAAGGTAATTAAACTAACATGAAGTAAATAACAGAAAATAACATGCCATAAATATTAAATTCGCAGAGAACAGAAAAAGTAAAATAATAGATAATGATTTCAACTACGCAGCCCATAATGATTAAACTAATTATTGGCAGAATTAAAATAAAAATAACTAAACTACTTGATAACTAAAACTGATGAAGAAACTATGAAATGATTAAAGTCTGGAAACTTATAAAATTAAATCTAAAAATTGAAATTAAATAAACTGCATGTCTGGATATTGTGCTGAGACAAAAGAACAAAGGTAGAAAACGTTCAACATATTTATATGAATGAATAACATAACTAAATTCATAAAAGGAAGAATAACTAATCGAATCAAAAGGGCATACCTGTTTTGAAGGCTAAGTTGCTTTCAAATGCTTAAAAATTAATCTAAATTGGAATTTGCGGAAGAAAATATAAACAAAGATGAACAAACCTAGGTTAAGGCTATGAACTAATCTAGAAAATCTGGAAACTATTGCTGAAATATGGAAAATGTAGTCTGAAAGCTGAAAAACATGCTCTAGGCAGTGTATGTGTGTTGGGCCGGCCTCCTGAAACTGTTCTCTTCTCTCTGTTTTTATTTTCTTCGGTGTTGGGAACTTCCTCCATGATTTTCGATACTGTTCCTCCATGATCTAGTAGTGGGGTTGCATGACTGACAGTTGTTTGACAGTTATCCGATAATTTTTATTTAACTTTATCTCCAACAAAACCTTAAAAATAACTACCTAAAAACCCTCAATTTCCCACTTTAAATCAAACTCAAACTAGCATATCCAATCTTATTTTCTGCCACCTAAGATCCAATCTCCTTGAAAATTCGTCTAAACCATTAAATTGTAAGCTAACACAGCCCAAATTTAGCCTATTGATTTTCTTGATAATTGGGCTTTACCTGGACACATGATCTTACCGTATTAGTTTATTTTAGGTGTAAACGAAACCCATCAAGAAAGTGATAGTCCTCAAGACTTCACTCCAATGGGGTGTGTGTAAGTCAGAATGACCTCCTTATACTAACATCACCAACTAGTGTTACAATGCATAGCATTATCATAACACAATATATAAACAACATGAAAGAATGCCAAAGAGGAGAGAGATAGGAAGTTGCATTAGAAGTGTGAACTGTTATTAACAAGCCCAATATAATTGTTATTTCAGCAGAAGAGTGGCTCAACCTATAAAGCAAAACCACTAGGAAAAGTTTATTGGAAAAAAGACAAACAAACAAGAATACAATTCATAAGGAGATAAAGATAAAGAGAATAAGTGAACAACTTCAGAATTTGATTCTTGAGGGAAGACATTGTGGACATTGGAGGGTAATAAGAAAAATAAATAAATTCTTTGTCTATTCAAGCACAGACCTTAATAAAAAAATAATTGTGCCTCTCTCAAGTTGAAGTCTTATTTTGACAAATTCTTCAGTTAAAAAGCACTTGTTTTAAAGTAAATTATTTTTTTCATAAATTTAAAATTTTATTGAAGTAAAATTTAAAAATTAATTTTTAAAATAACTTTTAAGCAAGTTCTTTGAAAAATATGAATATATAGCTTTTCTAAAACTTATTTAAAAAACCATTTTAAAATTTTTTTATTAAAATTTTAAATTTATAAAATAAAAAATAAATTTTATATACCTTACTTTTTAAAATTTAGCAAATATCTTTCTAATAGGTTAAAACAGAATCTGAGGCCAGAAAAGAGGCCATTAAAATTCTATTTTGTCTCATCTCATCTCGGCTCAACCCATCCCAATCTATAAAATTGTCGAGGATCCAAGACGTACGGAAAATTCAAATAACTTGCTTTCGCAGAATCAAGGAAACCCTAACAATTCCCCAATTCCAACCAAGGGAATTATTAATTGGGAAAATAATTTTAAGAGAATTTTTTTTACACTATCTTTTAGTATAATTTGACATATTATTTAAATGATTAATTTTTTTTATTCATATAAAATTCATATTAAATGTATCAACTTATTTAATGACATGTAAAAATTATATCAAAATATAATAGAAAAAAATTATTCATATAACACAACCCTATCGATAATTAAGGTACACCTTTGTTTGCGTCAGACAATGCGGGGAGAATTGGATTCTTATCAACTGTAGAAGCAAAAGCAGTCCAATTTAAAGCCAAATTTCTCATTTTGTTTTCAAGATTGATTTTTATAATACCACTCAAAATCTAAAAGCTTGATTTTAGCAAATAACATTAAAAAAATTCAGATAATGGACGATACAAAATTCTGTGTTTTATAGAAACCAATATTTTAAAATTTCTATTAAAACCACGATCCAAGAAGTCCTAGTCCAACCAAGATAGTTTCCCTTTTTAGTTTTGTCAAAACAAACCTGATCGTTATTTGCAAAGTGCAAACATCAGCTTTATAAGTGTACCAACTTTGTCTAGGCTCATATATATAACTAGAAAATGAAAATACCCGTAAAGTTTCCCTTGTTTAAGGAAATATTACTTTAGGGGGTCCAAAGGTAACTCAAGGACCTCTTTGGTTCGAAAGCCAATTTTATTATTTGAATTTTTATTAATAAAATAATTAAAAAATACTATACAAAAAAATTAATAAGTATTACACAAAAAGTTAAATTCTTTTAGTAAAATTTTATTAAATTTTTGTTAAGTTGTTAATTTTTATTTATTCAGTAAAAAAATTGATATAAAAAAGTTGCCAAGATAAATTGTCAAGTAGGTGCTATATAGAAAAAGTAGGGAGAAACTTTTTCCCTTAAAAAAATGTGAGAAAAAAAAATTTATTAGTTAAAAAATGTGTAAGAAAAACTAAAGACTAAGGATGCGAATCCGAGTGGAGACTTTTTCGCATAACCATACATTACTTTTATATATATATGCGTTTATTAAATTTTTTTCATATTGATTTTTTAAAAAATTATAAAAAATTACAATAAATCTACAATAATTTTATATATAAAACCAAAAACTTCATGTTTAAACTAACTATAACTTTTATAGAATATACATAATATTTAATATATTTATAAAATTACATATTAAAAACTAACTCCATATAATTTAATTACATCATAATTTATAACATTTTAATAATAATAATAAATCTAAAAAACTTAAATTATTAAAAAATGTTAAATATTATTTATTTTAATAATTATATATTTTACAATATTTTTTAAATTTCAATTAATAATTAATAAAATCTATTATACTTTATCCATAATATTTTTAAAAAATAAATAATCAAACATAAAAAAACAACTTTCAATTACAATTATAACACAACACAACACAATTTAACACAATAACAATTATAATCATAATACTTTATAGTAATTCCAAACGTAACCTAAAAATATTACTTTTATTCTTTTTTATTATTATATTAATATATGAAAATATATAAATATCCTTACGAAAGAGAGAAAGTTTAGAAAACTTAAAAGGGGAAATGTTTCTCCTTAACCAAATACCCCCTAAAGGTCAGGAATCTTAACCCACCACCATAAGAACTCAATAACAAGATTAAGGTTTTGGGGGTATTTGGACCATCGAAATTCGTATCACATGGGATCAACATCTCCGGTAATAATTCTCCATCCACAGATGAGAGAAGAAGGGTGTTAGAAGCAACGAGTTAAAACACAAATAAAATGGATTTTCTTGACGGTCATCAACCACGAAAACTGAACATTGAGAAAAGGAAGGAGGGATAAAATCTTGAAACACGATTGAAAAAAAAAAAAAAAACCATTGTTCTAGGTTCATGGTAGCAAGAAAAGAAATAGAATACCACACATCAAAGATAAGTACTACGAAGCCAAACAACTACTACGAAAAAGAGAGCAGATAAGTAGGATAACCAGGAATAGGCTCACAAAATAATGCAAACAGAAAAACAGACAACCACCAATTGAAAGCTAATAACAGCAAAACAAAGATGTCCTAATCAGAAATAGAAATCTTAGCAAACTTATTACCCTCCACCTTTTTTTTGTTTTTTTTTTTGCATTTTTGGGGCTTGGTTATGGATGATGATGTCCTTACTTGGCCATCATGACTTTGACGAACTCCTCATAGTTGATCTGACCGTCACCATCCACATCAGCCTCGCGGATCATCTCATCTACTTCCTCATCTGTCAGCTTCTCACCAAGGTTTGTCATCACATGACGGAGCTCAGCAGCAGAGATGAAGCCATTCTGGTCCTTGTCAAAAACTCTGAAAGCCTCCTTAAGCTCTTCCTCCGAGTCAGTATCCTTCATTTTCCTGGCCATCAGGTTAAGGAACTCTGGGAAGTCAATGGTTCCATTCCCATCAGCATCAACCTCATTAATCATGTCCTGGAGCTCTGCTTCAGTTGGGTTCTGCCCCAGGGATCTCATCACAGTCCCCAGCTCCTTGGTTGTAATACAACCTAAAGTAATATCAAGAAAATATTAATAATGTCAGCACTTTCCTCTCCAAGTACAAAGTAAAAGACTTTAAGTTGCACAGCAGGGTATCTTTTGTACAACAGACTATTACAACTCAAAAATAAATTAAAGATAGCAATAAGACATCAAAAGGTACAACCATACCAATCCAGCTACAACTCCATGGGGATCCTATATATTATATCAAACATGTATAGCAACACAAGATCATCCCAATCTAATCCCTTAATTAGAGACAAACAATTTTGCTAGATTATATCATCCAAAGAGACTTATGAACTTCTCCCCGCTAATCTGCAAACATTCTACAAAAAGATTCATAACTAAAAGACATATGATTGATTTTGGACAAGATAACACAAAAGAGTCCCCCTTTTTTTTTTTTTTTTTTT